AAAAAATTTAGTTTGAGATGGGGCACGTTCGCTGATCAAGCGCTACGGAATCAATCAAACAATGCGGATGTTGACCGATAACCGGTCCTAAAAAGGCTTCATTGTCTTTTAAGCATGGTGAACGGATTAGACGAATAAGTATTGGATTGGAAAAGTTGCATAGCTTGTTTGTTCACCAAAAGCCTAATCAAACCTAAAATCCTCAACGAGACTATAGTACTTCAGTGTCACGACGCATGTTCATTACATGTTGACAACAGTCTTGATGAACGAAATGATGATCATGCTTCATTACATTGTACCTTGTAGTGGCTCTTAGTTCCACGATTATTTTATTTCTCCGTGAGGATGCTGCATATCTTATCGACGAGAAAGTTCCATTTCAAAATCTTGTCAGAGTGGTTTCTGTAACCACCGGAGGCAAAGATATGTAAACCCCAGTTTTTTTCGCCACTGTTAATCTTTTTATTTGTTTTAGCGCCGCTGAAACCATCCAATGCAGAAATCACTAGTTTTTTCTCTGCTGAGCGCACTCCTTCCAAACGGCTACCAGCTTTGTTATGAAATCTCCGACTTACTGCTCAGAACGATAAATTTGTAATCACTATGCATAGCTACGCTACTGGCGGATATACCACACTGGTTAGTGATGCTGTGCAAAACGTATGGTCGGTTACTAAATTGACACCGCGTCCTAGGCTCACCACGCGCTTCATCCTTACGTGATTAGAAAACTGATTCCATAATCTGTCTGAGAGGGTAAGAACTCTGAATTGGCGCATCGCTAGTCCACCGCCAGTCCTCTCATTTCCCAGATATGCATTGAATCACTTGTACTATGCCACAGATGGAGTCGAATAGATGGTGTATCCTTCATGGAGTGGAGAACCCCGAACCCTTTATGCTTTATGCGCCACTTATCTAAAGTTTAACACAATAGATGGATAACCCGAAGCTGTTACTATTATCATGTTTGGCGTATTTTAGTTTATGGATGTTATGAAGCGTGAGCAATACACGTTTTCTGACAAATACGAGTGGGAAGAAGAGTGTCCGGCAACTACCTCCAATCTAGACACTGCCATCGAATACAGCATTCGTGAAAAAACCACGAAAAAACCACTTGACGGTGAGCTTCTTATGGTTTTAAAAGGTTTTATGACATAATATGTATGTATTGACTGATCGAAGAAGAATCAGATATCTTCGAAATAATTGGTGAGAGCTAATACTATAATGAATGAGTGGTCGGGTGAATAAGCCTCGGTGGTGTAGTGATAAAGCACGCATCACTGGATAGGATGAAACGCAGGTTCGATTCCCACCTGAGGCCATGCTTTTGATCATCACTCAATTCTCTTAGGTATACTAATACTATAGTTAACATGACCAATACGAGGCTGTGCTGCCTGCAATTTTCCGAGCTTCCTGATGGATGTGAACGTTTTTACGTAATTTGCAAGAATTACAATTTAGCAGGACTACAGTAGTAGTCAAGACGACGAAGTTTTGTGAGCATGCACCTATTTCAAATATTGAGAAAGGACAGATAACTACCAGAATGTGAATTATATGTTCAGGTGGTGTTCAGGTGGTTCACAAGCAAATTAACTATACTACCTATATATATATATATATATATATATATATATATATATATGTATATATATATAAATTGATATTCCGAGGAATACAGTCGATAATGGCCCATGTCCATCGGTTGTCGTTGAAGCGCATCACGTGTGCAGCTCACCTTATTTTCGATATCCAGGCGTATAGAACGGCGTCTTCAATCTTCGATCGTTGACGTAGGTCGGAACTTCGGATCCATTCTCTCATTTGCGAGATACGGGACACTCCTAGCATAGACCTTTCGACTGCGCGTTCAAGAACGCCAAGTGATCTTTCATCTTGCTTACGTAGCGATCAGGATTCTGTTGCATACATCAGGGCAGGGATACAGGGATAATCGTCGGGTCGAACAGGTGGGCACGGAGTCGAGTGTTCTTTGCCCTCTTCAATACATACCACTATATATATATAATATTAATATATATAATATATTATATAATGAATATGAAAATCAATAAAAAGGGATGCTGTTGAGAAGAATCAAAGGGGTAAGATAAGATAAATGCAATAACCTTGAAGAAGTATGGAGGAAAGCGAAATTATTGTGACCCACTTTCACAGTTCCTCGTGTCATACTATACGAATTAGTAAGACAGGTTGAATTTTCTTAATAAACAATCGAAAAAAAACAGAGCCATACGGTTCATGCTATTTCAACGAAAAAGCTTCCATGTCGGAATTATGAACAGAGATGTTATTGGTTGATGGTTATTCGTATCATTCCGAGAAATATCAGTGTTAACTCTACCTTCCTTTGATATGTTCACGACTTGTAGGGTTTCTGGTCACTTTAGAAATGAATGACTAATTAATAAAAAATAACAAATTGCAGGATTCGAGAAAGAAGCACTTCTATATACGAATATCCATGAGAAAAACTTCAAGGAAGTCATACTCACTATTTGACACAAACTGTGTATACATTTCGTGTCATCCTTCTAATTGATAATGCCAATGATGATTCAAACATGACAATGCCCCAAATTCTCATCGCTCTGCTCATCAAATAAACAGTCGCTTTCGAAATGTGTATGTTTACAGAAGCGTGAAAATCGGTATACCCACTCATTTATATACAGTTTTATAGAAAGATCTATACATCCCCACATTATGAATTCAATAATTAGGCTTCTATGTAACATTTTGCTTACATGCAAGACGATCCAAGAAAAATCGTGGGTAAAAAGCATCTTTCGAAGCAGGAAAAGAAGTTTTTCCATCGAAACGGCGGTTAGTAACCCTCCGTAAACCAAACAAAATGCGAGACGAACAGAGTAAGCCCTATGCTGTTCAGATACGAGTGTAACTTTGCCACGACTATTCCCTGTCGGTCACCCCTTAAGGGTTGGCCCTTTCGGCCATAGGTCCAGGGACTTTCGCCCACAGATCGACGACCACGCCGGGTCGGTGAGTGTCTGCGAGTACTCCCCTTGTCGTCTCGCCAGCAAAGGTTGACTCGCCGCTTCTCAAATAACCGGCATCGCATTTGCGCCGTATACTATCAGGGTTGGATTTTCCTTTTCAATGTGGGAAAAATGAAACAACCTTTATTCTTATGTATTCTCGCTAGCGATTAACCTACATCATATTACGCCAACTAAGTTGACACCTACGACGATTGAGTGGTAAGCAAAAACTCGACCTCCGACGGTAATTGAACCCTCGTCTCATCTATCCCGAGAACGCGTGCTACCACTACACCACCGAGGCCACTGCTTACTCACCACTCATTCTTCACTATCTCTCCATTATAGCTATCAGTCATGAACCATTAACAGGTTTGATCGGGTAAGCAAAATCGCTCTCCAAACCCGGTTAAGATGACAGATATTATAGTTATATAATTCCAAGATTTGAATCTTGGAATTATATAACTAAGTTCAAATAAGTAGAATGATGTCATAATAGCTCGTGAGCAAAAGCAAAAAATGTAGGAAAGGCGATCTCAATCACATCCCGAAACTCAACTTACTTTGTCTCACAAAAGCCTTGATTTCAGCACTCGGTGTTCGACGTGGGGTGATTTATGTTTACGCAGTGCGAAAATAATAGCTGTTTCTAGACATATGGCAAGTTGTGTGGGTGTGTGTGTGTGTGTGTGTGTGTGTATGTGTGTGTGTGTGTGTGTGTGTGTGTGTGTGTGTGTGTGTGTGTGTGTGATGTATATACATATATATATATATATATATATATATATATATGTTGCGCATTATGTCTATGTGCGTAGCCTACACAGACTTCATTATACTTCGAAATTCAAACTCTGTCTTAAGTCATTTTGAGAGTTTTATTTCTATACTATATAAAACTTGAATAACTGTATTAATTAGCCATACTATCTAATGACTTAATAAAAGACATTATAACTATTATAAGTAGTTTACGTTTTCAACCCATTAAGTATGCTAATTACAAAATATTATTGTAACAGTGCAAAAAACCATCTCCAGAATCTGAAAACTCATAAATTTGTAACTTATATCATATATATATGCATATATAGTCGACAACGAATGACATACGGAACACCTCAGCTTGGTTCTTTCGAGCTTCCGAGATCAAGAAGAGACTTGTCTGACAACATTCTATGTCATCCATGAAGAAGACGATATCCTCATTCAGTAATCGAAGCAACACGCAAAATGTTTGAAGACCTTTATAGAGGATAAACGCGAGGTAACGAAGCAAGCGCTAAAAATGCTGGGATCCTCCCAGAAGTTGTGATAACGAGTCAAGTATTACATTATATATATATATATATAAATATATATATACATTATATCACATCATTTATTTGCAGTGATATTTAGCAATAAGAAGTCTAGAGAAAAAATCTTTTGAACGAATGAATATGATTCTAAAATTTCTCTATTTACTTTACGAAGCTGACATTCAATGCAGCCCGGTTTTTTAATATAATATCTTGTAAAATGAGCTTTATAAATTTATTTACTTTAGTTTAGCTGATACGGATGATATAGCTCAGATTTTCTATATGAGTCAAGATAACCGTGATATCTGAACAAGCACTCAAACCAATTCATACCTGCTCGAGTTGTCGGCCTGTGATAGTATTCGTGGAATCCCTTTGCACTAGTTTTTGAAATCTAAGATGAAAAAAACTTAACCATACGAGGGATACAAGTGCTATTTTAAGAAATATATTGAAAGTTGTGCGATTATTTGCCAAAACTGTTATACAGTTGTGGAGACTCTGATTCTAGGTCGAGATTTTAACATGTGCTTGAAAACGTGAAAGAATATGGATAATTGACTAATCTACATCAATTTTTCATCTATAGTGCTTTCTAACAGTGGTGTGATAGTGCAAATATGCACTGAAGAAGATTGAGATGTACGCATAAGACTGATCTCAGGCAAGAGTTGAACCTGCCTTTCGCCCTTACCAAGTGCATGTGCTACCACTACACCACCAAGACCACCGTTTTGCGGCCACTCTTTCTTCGATATGCACTGCTGAAGCTGCAATTCACGGGTTCAACACCCTCGAAAAGAGTGGAACTTGAGTTGAACTTCCTCTCTAGGTAAAATTTTGCGTAGTACTCAATCTTCTCAAATGTTCTTGAAAGAGTTGCTTTCTGATGTTTGATTTATGCATTGATTTAAGTATCTCCAGAACTGTTGAAATAGTGAAAAAAATTTAGTATTCTGGGAAATTCGGAAACAACTATTCTACGAAAACTGCAATGCTTTCGGTATTTTGATACACAATATTATTCAAGCAATTCAAAAAACACATTCATGTGTGTATCAGCTGTTAACGCAATAATTGGTATCAACTTGACTATTGCAACATAGTAGACGATTAGATCAGTAAGATTCAACACAAATTATGGCCTACGAAGGCTAGAGATCGCTTGTTTCAAAAAATTTGTAGGAGTTTCCAGTAATACAAGACAGTAAGCTAACAGTCTGCGAATTAGACTGAACTTGATAAAGACACCATTCCTTCTTCATAATCTCCATAGTTAAGGCATATCTTTTCAGCTCATGTAACTATGCATTAGAGTGATAGCGCCAGACCGCAATAATACTGCCATTTTTAAGTACAGTTCTATGAAAAACTTACTGGTGCATAACTATCTACATCACAAACAAAATTCGTTTTTGTTTGACCGCATATTGCGGTGGTATGATATTACAATAAACACAATAATGTAGAGTGGTGTGCAAAAACATTTGCGTCGGCCGGGATTCGAAACCAGAACTCACTTGTTTCGTTGCACGGCACAGAACACGCCCGGGAAGTGAGATTTGGGTCGAATCCCGGCTGACACAAATGTTTTTGCACAACACTCTACATTAGTGGGTTAACTACATTACAATTCCAATTCTTTGTAATTCGAGATATTTGCTCTGTTTTCTTTCAAAGGGGTTCTGTGAAGTGGCTACCGTATTCTAAGTTCTGTCATAAAGATATGACATGACGAAGGACAATGAATCTGGTAAGTGAAAAACTGAATTTGCGCTTTTTGGCGTGCTATATTCTCCATTGCAAAACAGTGTAAACGTTTGTGACATGAAAATAAATTTATCCTATTACTCCTACAGTAGTTGGTTGGTCTAAGATTTCTAGACCACTCTTTTAATCTGCTTTAAATTCTTTCAAAAGCGAGTTTATTGAGCTCAAGCACAATAAGAACGATTTCTGATCAAGAGTTCATACGCGTGAGTGAATCTTGTGAAAGCGCTTTGTGGTGTCGGCGTGCTCGCCTCACCGTCAGCATACCAACAAGGAGGCATATGAGTGAGCTAATTTACTTTGATTCTGGCCAGCTATTCTGCCTATAAAATGCAAAATTACAATCTGAGTAAAAATTGTTGGAATGGCACGAACTATTATAAAGGAGCTCAAATTGCATAGAAAGCTTTTCAAATGAGTTTCTTCGTCTCGACATAAATTTATTAGCCATCACTTTTTTAATCCCACAAGATATTGTCTGGAAATAGGCAAAAAGCTGCGAGAATAGCTACATTTTCGAAAATACTTTGTTTGGCGTCTTGATCAATTTTTCCTCCAGCGCATTTTACTAGTAGCACGAAACCAGTGAGCTGGATTATAATGTCAGATGAGGAACGACCTGGACTACAGAGTTTGTCCGATATGTCTTAATTAACAAAGATTCCTCCAAGAGAATTGCTTTTCTATATTCTTAGAACATTTCATTGAGGAAAATTATCACCATCCTATAAGAAGTTGGAAGGTGTTGAGCAGATATTTTACATGCAGTGACCCGAACATTTATACTAATGAACGTACATGTTTGAAGTATAAATCATGCCATATTACTGATTCTAATAGCGCTTAGTTTGGTCAGCAAAGGTGAGTAAGTATAACATCTTCCTATTTCACTTGAGACATTTTCTTCTTCTCTTTTATTTTCTAAAGAAGAGGTGATAGAATGACTGTCTGGAGAAGCCATCAGCACGTGTTTTTCCCGGCCTCACGGAGAATGTACACTAAAGCGGTTACACATGAATATCGTACTCTCATCCGAATATCGCTCTGAAATTTGATGAGACTCGATACGTCATGGTTAACAACGTGTTTTTTTCAGATTGGTATAGGGTTGACTATCTGTCTAGGAGTTGCAAACGCACACTGTATGATTGAACTTGTACGATGTCCACAATATATCAGTATACTGTAAGTTTTTCTCAATTGAAAGGTTTACTACTTCCTTCGTAAATTCCTCTACCGCCTATGAGTTTCTGTTGAGTAAACCCACAGGAAGTTTATAAGTCTGGGCATTCGCTGATGTGATTCGTTTATCAGTACGCCTTTTCAACCCGGGAGTGTTGCAAGTAGTGCGGATCGTCGCCCGCGTTTATTTTCGCAAACAAAGCTTGCTCGCAACAGTAGTGTATTCAATGGAAAGGTTGTAAAACACAAACGTGGGCACGAATCACATCCCATGGAGATTCTTAGAAATCGACAACTTTTAAAGGCCGTTTGAGCCCTAATTCATTTCCTAAATGGACTTTGACGCTCAAGAAGAATATTTTTACAACATACTGTTAGCGACGAAGGATAAAGTGTTTCCGATTTTTTCTGATCAGGAGCGAACAAATGAAATTATCATTCCATGGAGACGAACTTTCCGTAGGAATGTTAATAACCATTCGGAATGAGACATGAAGCTACAGCCCAAGTCATCGGTTTTTCAGTACACTCCTCTATAACGCTGTAGCATCCAGATCAAAAGATATGTTTCACATTCGCCTTTCGCCTTCATTTCTATCACGCGTATAATTCGCTGGAAGCCGTGAATCATATCATTGTGCAGAAAAATTTTCGAAGTACTTAAGTCAATCGTTTCATCTAGAGATTCCTTAAAAACGGAGAAAAAATTTCCATTTAAATTGTTATTATAGACTTAGAGACTGCTTATTATGATAGAATGACCAGAAGTTGATGGATTATCGTTGGAACTTTTCGGAAAAGCTCGGCCTTTACGGGCTGTGCATTCATCAAAATAAATCAGATCAGTTTCTCTTAAGAGTTCACAAACCTTGTCGCAATATTCAGCTGGTATACGAACGTTGTGCTCGAGAATAAAGAATTAGCACTGTTTAGACACAAATTGCAAGCATTTTCACAGTCACCAAATTACCGCAAACTTTTATTTTTCACATACTCATATTTCTTTACTTGCAACTCCCACTACATAGTGGAATTTTCCACATTAAGAACCAGTATTGGAACAGTCTAAACAGTAACATTTCCTTCGGTGTGGCCATATAGTCTTAGCATAGGTGGCGTAATTTGCAGCATAATTGACATTATAATGTCTCCTTATAATATCGTAGAGTTCGCTTCTATTTTACTGGTCTATTTGACCACTTTCTATTTCTAGAAAGTCAACTCTTATAAAAGTACTTCTATTCACAACTCAAGTAGATAACCGTCTATAGCTAGTGGACCAGGGTTTCCCGCACGTGCATATCCTGCATATGCGTAATGTGCCACACGCATATGTCCATCAGAATCCATGCCTTTCTTTATGAATTTCAACAAAAACATAATTCTTACTGAGTTGTGTCAGAAGTTTCTCCTACGATATGTAAGAACCATAGAAACGCCCTTCTCATCTTTCCATTTGAATACTCAGATTCTGTTTTCTTCAGTTGTTCTCATTTCAACTCCAAATCCTTGCTCAAGGGTTTGGTTTTTTCCTACACGTAACAAAAGGGCGACTTCTTTTCTGCACTAAGTTCATAGCCATAAGCTAATGCCGACTTTCGCCGAATATATCGCACATAAGCCTAATCACTAAGACTTAGAGATTTCCTCAGCTATGAAGAAATAACACCTACTAGACCGATAATTCTTCAGATGTGATCACCTTTTGTGATCACCTCAGGTAGTTTTAGATCCTATGGAAAATCTCGTTAAAGTTTATATGATTTTATTTCATTTCTACTGATGAATTCGGCATGAGAGTTCCACCATGTGCGAGCTATCTCGTTGGTCACATCTGGCTCTTGTCGGCAAAATAAAGCTTGGCAAGGCTCATTCTAATTTTCTTTTATTACATTAGGGGATCTCAAATTCCAGTAGCCCATCAGCATCTACCATGTTCTACTTTAAGATAGAAACCTATGAATGTTCTCATATTATCAGCATTTCTTATTTTTATTCATAATACCTTTGTGCATCGTATTTGATCGTAGTCTGATCCAAAGTGTCATCAATAAAAAAATTATAGAAACCTAGCATTCCTGTACAGCGAGATAGAAAACTGTCGATCAACATCGTATTAACTCTCATCAAATGAGACAATAATTATAGTCTCGGATCAGTCACCGCTGACTGCTTAGTCAATATTTTAGACGTTATTCTTCAATTCAGTTCATTTACACTCATCAACAGGGAACATAAGAGGTCAATGCTCTTTTATCACGTCTATACTTTCCCAACTTTTGATGTCACCAAAAATTATCGTCTCTTGTCGTGAAATCGTTGTAATTTATTATGAGCATAGATGGAGTTTCCTAAAGCGTAACCGAAATGAATCAGCACATCGTTGCATATGGCAGCTATGAAAGCACTGTAGCACGTTATTTATTAATCATTACTTTCGAAAATTTCATATTGACAGCATTAATTCGGTTTTTTTAAAAAAAATCACCGGATATGAGCGCAGAAAATGATTTATTCTTCTTACACGCAGAACTCGGCAGAAACAAGCAACCGCGGAAACGAACGAATACCGAAATTGGCATGAGCAGTATTGAGTGCATCAGTCGCCGTATTTTCATTTAATCATTTTTAGGCTACTTCTAATGCCATTCCAGAAGCGGAAGCCTCACATTCGAAAACGGAAGGGCAACATTGCGAGAAGTGTTTTTATCATTCTGGTAAGCATATGACTGAGATAATCTTATATATCCCATATGAGACATTAGCTCAAATCTG